TTTATAATTTTATTTATTTATTTATTTTTCCCCAAAGCCCCAGTAGATAGTTGTATGTCATAGCTGCACATCCTTCTAGTTGCTGTATGTGGGATGCAGCCTCAGCATGGCCGGAGAAGCAGTGCGTCAGGGTGCGCCCGGGATCCGAACCCGGGCCACCAGCAGCGGAGCGTGCGCACTTAACTGCTAAGCCACAGGGCCGGCCCTATATACGTATATTGCATGGAACTGTGTTGTAAAGATTTTTACCAAAATATTAACAGTGGTTATCTTAAGGCAGTGGCATCATGAATTATTATTTTTCTTCATGTTTTCTATGTTTTCCAAGTTTTCTGCATTGAAAAATAGTACTGTTTCTAATTTTAAAAATTTATAAATTAAGTAAAAAAATGTTCTTTAAAAATAGAACCAGGGGCCAGCCCCATGGTGTAATGGTTAAGTGCAAGCTCTCCGCTGCTGGCAGCCCGGGGTTCGGATCCCAGGTGCCCACTGATGCACCGCTTGTCAGGCCATGCTGTGGCGGCGTCCCATGTAAAGTAGAGGAAGAGCGACACGGATGTTAGCCCAGGGCCAATCTTCCTCAGCAAAAAGAGGAGGATTGGCATGGATGTTAGCTCAGGGCTGATCTTCCTCACACACACACACACACACAAAATAGAATTAAACACACGCATAATGAATCCTTGTGTACACAGCTACTACAACACTAAGAACTTAGGATTTTGATCAGTTTTGTGACACTGTATTTAGTTTGAGTTGTCTTAATGAAATGTGATATGGAAACATGCTATCATTTTAAATCTTCTCGAAGTAGTGCACTTGAAAATAACAGTTAAAATATCAGAAATATATATACAAATATAACTATTTATATATATTATATTTATATCCGTTGAAAATAACTGTTCGTAGGGATTTTTCATTGCCGGAAGGAACTCACAATCACAATTAAGAAAAAATAAAGAGGAAAGGAAATAAAAACCAGAAGGAGCCTAGATTAACCCTTAATAGAGCAGTAATTCAAAGAAGTTTATCCATAAAATTGAATAATATGCATCCATTAAAAGGAATGGGATAGGGCCAGAGTTCCCAAATTGTGCACCAACAGGTACCGAGACATGGCAGTGAATTCACAGGCGTGCCTCAGGATATTTTACATTTTTGAGATAAACATAGTGATTCTTGATATCTGTAGGACATAGTGCACACGGCTATCTTAAGATAGTTCACAATTACACACTTAACCGCTATGCCACCAGGCCAGCCCCTACAATTTTTTAAAAAGTAAGAATTTTTATCTTTTTTTTTTTTTTT